TTCTTCTTCTCCTCCTGCTGCGCTAACTCTGATGCTACAGAGCTCTTGTACCTGATCCACACATTCCGTGATGAATCCTCATCCTCGACCTCCTTGATCTGTACCTTCTGACCAACAGTAGTAGCAAGGTCCGATTGTTCTTCATCCTCAAGTCTGACAGGTATAGTACCCACATGTCCGTGCATTTTAGAGCTGAAGCTGTTCGACTGAACCTGATGACGGATAGAGGCTTTCTCGATATCCTCATCTTCGTCATCTTCTGTCGGTATCAAATCGGGCAATGCCGGAAGGATTGAACAGTTCATGGCTGTTCGCTTCTTCGCCTTGGTCTTCTTGTCCTTGACCTTGGCTTCCTGACATTTAACCAGGCAACGGTCTAATGCCACCTTCCCTGCATTCCAATCGATACTAGGATTATGGAATCGTAACCAATCTATTCCAATGATAATATCATCAGATCCTAGGTCTGTGACCAGAAAGGCTACTTCTTCTTCATGATCCCCTATGGTAAGCTTCAAGTCTGCGTAATGCGTAATTGGTCTGGCGGAATTGTCTGTTTCGTCGATATTATGGATTGACATTGGTTGCAACAACTGCTTAATCTGAACTTGATTTTTTTCTACAAATTTTTTGCTGAGGAAAAGGTTCATTGCTCCACAATCCACTAGAGCATCGACAGCTGCTTTCTTGTGTTTCCCTTCCAACGTAACTGGCAAGTAGAAATGGTCTCGTTTATTCCCAGAACAAACTTCTGATACTTCTGCAAACATAATTGCCGAGTCACCGAGAATGGAAAAACGATTTCTTTGATCTAAGTCTGCAGTCGACTTTGATCTTCCTAAAAACCCTTCTGTTCCTCTTTCTTCGCAGGGTTGTACATACTGGAGAGGCAAATCCTCTCGTTGACAATGCGGTTAATATCTTCCAGGGTGAGTGCTTTCACCGCTGAAACTTCTTCCACCTTGCTGGCGTGGACAGCTGGTCCTTTGCCCTTGGTGTCGAGTGGCTTTCCCATGCAGTTATGGGCCATATGCCCTTCTTGTCCGCAGCGATAGCACTTGAATGGTACTCCCTGTTGTCCTTGAGGCCGGGGTCTGCCTCCTGCTCTGTTTGCATCTACGTCCATGGTGTTTCCTCCCTGCGACGTGGTCTTGGGTGCTCCAGCTGGTGCGGGTGGAGCAGCGGGGCCTCGCCAAGGTTGTCGCTGAGCGAAGCTCATCTTTCTCTCATCGTCAAGCTCTTCGAGGTTCTGCCTGACTAGAAGCGCTTCCCTGATCAATCCCTCCAGGGTGTCCTTCCTGTTGGGGTGGATGTTGGCCAAGTAGTTTTTAACTCGTTGGTCTAATCCATGACGGAGTTTGCGCATTAATTCGTAGTCGGAGAAATGACAGAAGGCGAGCTTCTGATGGAAAATGGAGATATACTCTCTGACGGTACGATTGCCTTGTCGGAGAGCTTCCAACTCTCTTGCTGCCTTCTCCTCCTTGTTGACGACAGTCCACATGACCTTCATGTCCTTGACGATGCTGTCGTAGGACCCGGGATGACCACTGAGCGCCATAGGTGTGACACTCTCTGCCCACTTGGCTGCGGCTCCTCTGCAGAAGGAAATGAGACAGGTACACTTTTGTTGCTCCGTTGCTCCGGGGTACCCTGTGAAATAGATTTCAAGCTGGGTAAGGAAAGTGTCGATGTCAATGGTGTTCTTGTCTCCCGTGAAGTCCATGGGTTTCGCCATCTTTAGATCAGAGCCTGAAGTCCCAGATGTAGCGCCTGGGATCTTCATTGTAGGTGAGGTCTCCAAAAGCGTGACCCTCTCTTCTGCATCTCTCAAGGAGTTCTCCAGATCCCTCACCCTGCTCTTTAGGTAGTCGATCTCATCGTCCGCATGCACCAGGCCTGCTTGCAGTTCGTCGATCTCCTTTTGCAGGCTGGTTATGAATTGCCTGGTGTACTCTCTTTCTGTTACGACGACGGCGTTGATTGCGTGCAAAATGTCCTGATGGGTGATGATACTCGACCTGGGCCCGGAGATGCCGAAGGGTGCAGAAGGGCCTGCGGTTGGGGTGGTGGATGATTCTGCAGATGCTAATGGGCTTAATGGGTTTCTCCATCCTTGCGGGGCCGGAGAGTGGATTACTCCCCTTGGTGGAGTTACTACTCTTGGTACAGCTGGGGGAGCGTCTGTCACTTCCGTATCCTTGGAAATGTGCGTCCCAGGCTCTCCTAGATTCTCGGACATTGAAGAATCTGCAAGAGGTATCCAAACAGGAAACAGTGTGGAGATGGAACTCTCTAGCCGCAACTAGGCGGGATCTGTACTGGCGGGGCAATGATGATGGAGGTGTGAATGCGTATAGCGATTCGTCAACCTAAAAGAACTCGAGAGGAGTTCGTGAAGACGTGGTGAACTTCGGGTCTGCTTTCAGCACCCTAGGTTCCTATTGTAATGTATTTTTAGGGTTATAAGACCCGTGAGTGCCGTTCTGTTACGTAGAAAGCAAGTATTGTAGCGTACAGTCGGCAGGGTTTTGGGCCTGACTGTAGACGTGCGGAAACAGGACCTAAAGTCACTGATCCTTATGAACTGGCGGCTCATGTAAGATGAGGGCCTGGTCCACTTCTACTTAAAAGACTAACGTAAAGAAACTGAGATACTAAAGCACATCGGGGAAATGATGAGTTGACAAAAAATGTGATCTGCAAGAATATTCTCAAGCAGAACAGCACTGCAAAGTTCGTCGAGAACGGTGACGTCCAAGACAAAGTTCGAGTCGGAGTGGTAGAGTAGACTTAACCTAATGTTATGACCGACGTCCAACAATAATGTTGAAGGTGAGTGCACAACCACTAGGACTCGGTCAGAGATGACAATGAGCAACAGGATAGATTTGAGCGTGAACATCTAGGTCACTACAACAGTAGAAACGAAGAGGTTAAGTCTAAGGAGTACTTACGCTAACTAGCCTACTCTAATACATAACATTGAATAGGAGTCTGAAAGAAATCAGCCAATAAGAAAAGAGTCGTACAACTACTGCAGATGACTAAAGATGACTCATGATATATATAAGCGAATGAGTAAGACGGCAACTAAACAGAAACCCAAGTTCCGACCGGTTCTTCTTTGGGAAGCGAGATTGTTCTAGCCCATGGAGTAGGGGAGCCAATCGGAGAAGCAACGGGTGACCTATGATGAGGAGTCACGTGACCGGCTCGGGTACTGGAAGTAGCCAAAGGAAAACCGAGAAATGAAAAATGGTTCGTATTAGGAATTCGTGACAGCCTGGGCAGAAGGAGATGGTGAAAGCATGGGATGCTCTGCAGTTTGTCAGTGTCAAACACCATGCTGGGTTGAGGGAGGCGAACCACTTGTCAACCCCTGCCTTGCACCTGGGGGTGTGGGAAGTGCAACAATCATTCCCAAAGGTGACACAGGATATGAGGCTACAAACTCCCGAGGCATTGTGTAACAATCGTAAAAGCTAGATGGAGCTAATATACATACTTACTACCAATATTAGCTCCAGGCACTTATTTCTTTTCTCTTTCTCCTTTCTTCTTAGTTCGTATTTCTTCCTCCCCTGATATCTCCCATACATATTTAAACCTGGCATCCAAGTAAGCAAAGGTCATCTACAAGTAAGGAAATGTCGGCCGCAAGTAAGGTTAGGTCAGCTGCAAATAAGCAATAGGAGTGAAAAATAAGCTGTCAACAGCTTATTTGAAAAAAAAAAAAAAAAAAAAAAAAGTGAAAAGCAAAGTTGTAGCCAGTAAAGAACTATGTACAATAATAGTGGTGTGAAAAAAATATGTATATAAAGATACTAGGGCTATACTACCAGCCTGTTAGAGACCGTGCTCAGACAGAGAAGCAGAGGGGTCAGGGCTTGGCTTCAGCTCTTGTGCTACGCCCTTAGCCGAGTATGTGCCCCAAATTTGGACCAGATCCAACAATGTCTGATGATAGGACAAGTGGACTGCTTAGGTCCACTTGGGCAGGTCGGAGGTCAGAGCTGCTAGCAGTAATCCGACTAGGAGCGGAGTGGTAATCCAACCAGGAGCGGAGCAGAGAAGGTGGAGGAAGTTTATTGAAATGGAGGGAGAAAGGGGAACGACAAGGGAAGTCAGAGAAGTAAGGGTGAATACTTTAGAGCACAGCTCTAAAGTCAGAGCAGAGGGTCGGAGGTGACGACAAGTTTAACTTGTGTCCGGAGAGAGAGAGCAAAGTCCTGCGGAGAATTCCCACTAGTAGAGACTGTGGGAAGACAAGTAATATTAAGACTAGGGTCTAGCTAAGTACAGGATATGTTTTATATACTTCTAAGTAGGAGGCAGTGACTGGTTAGTCCTTGGTAGGAGGCTGTGTACCAAGCATACAATTTGTAAGTAAAAACATAAGTCGGGGCGGATATCAATATGTACACATCGGATCAGTTAGATGAGTGGTTATAGGAAGTACTGGTGATCCGGGAAATAAGTACTATGTGCAAATGGGGAAAGTATATACCTAAATGGGGCAAGGAGATTTACAGTAGAATGGATGGTGTGGAAGGCAACCGACGAGGCAGTCAAGCAGAGCTGTAGGAGCCAATGCAGGAGCCGACTGGGACGGGCAGAGGGCAGACAGAGCAGAGGTGGTAGGATAGCGGGGGAAGTAGGATGTTAGGCGGAGTGGATATTAATATTGATGGAGTGGTCGGATCAGGTATATGACACAGCCGCAAGTAAGGTAATGAGTCAGCTGCAAGTAAGGAAATGAGTGGGCTGCAAGGAAGCAATGGTCAGCTGCAAGTAAGCAAGGGCCAGCCACAAGTAAGCAAGTTGGCTGCAAGTAAGCAATAGGAGTGAAAAATAGGCTGTCGACAGCTTATTTTAAAAAAAAGTGGAAAGCAAAGTTGTAGTCAGTAGAGAACTACATATAATAACAGTGGTGTGAATATATATATATATATATATATAAAGATACCAAGGCTATACTACCAGCCACAAGTAAGGAAATGTTGGCTGCAAGTAAGCAATGGTCAGCCGCAAGTAAGGAAAGGTTGGCTGCAACTAAGCAATGGTCAACCGCAAGTAAGGAAAGGTCGGCTGCAACTAAGCAATGGTCAGCCACAAGTAAGGAAATGAGTCAGCTGCAAGTAAGGAAAGGTTGGCTGCAAGTAAACAATGGTCAGCTGCAAGTAAGCAAATGAGTCGGCTGCAAGTAAGCAAATGAGTCAGCCAATAATACCAGTAGTCAAGAAATAAGCGGTCAACTGCTTATTTTTCACTTTTCAATTTTGACAGTTCATACCAGTGGTCAGTGAGTAATATGATGTCCATATACTATATGACACACAAATAAGGTTTGACTGAGTTTGAAACTGAGTTGACCACTACTATACAGTACCACTATCATCAACATGCCTTCTAATTCACTACCACCATCATCTCACCAGCCCCTAAGTCAACAACTCAAAATGCCCACTTGCCTCAACTGTTCTGCTAAGTTTGAAGTCATCCAGGACTACAGGAATTATAGCAAGCAGTGCTTGAAGGAAATTGAGACTTTTATTCATAAGCTGACTAATCAAAAATCACTGAAGAAAAATGATCAAGGCAACTTTCAGTGCTACTGCTCTGATGCTGGATGTCCAGACAAGAAAAAAGTCTACAAGACCATAGAGAATCTCAAAAGACACTTAAAGAAAGTCAAGTCTTGTTGGATTGGATTAAGCAAGGTAGGAAATTGATTAGCATACATGCATATTAATCAACCACTAACATCAACTCAAAAATTGGAGAAGCTGATCCATATTTACCTGAAACCATAGATGAATCAACAACTGGTCATCAGGTGAGCAAATTGATCAGCATACATGTATACTAATTCATCCTTATTCACAGCAAACATCAATATTCCAAGAAGATCAACCCATGGACATCGACCAAGATCTAGGAGTACAAGTAGGTTATATGAATTAGCATACCCATATGCTAATAAACCATCAGTCTCAGGTAGAGGAAGTGCAGTCTGGATCTGGGGAAATAAGTGGTCGACCGTCTATTTCACAACCAGGCCAACAACCAGACCATCAAGTAAGTGTCATGATTTAGTACATATGCATGCTGACAGATTTTTAGGAGTAAACTCAATCTAGAGAAATAAGCCGTTGATGGCTTATTTCACAGCCAGACCATCAAGTGAGTGTCATGATTTAATATATGGGCATGCTAATTGATCGTGATTTAGGATGGACTATTGCACCATCCATACCTAGAGAGCATTGGCATGGTGGTGGATGCAGACCTTCAAGTGCTATGCTGTCTCGTCTGTCAAATAGCATTGCCTCCAGATCATATCACTGGTCATATAGACAATGTCCATCCAGGACTACAAGTGGATGATGAGCGGTATAGTCGAGCAATCTCTGAGATGGAAATTGCCATGACTCTTCCCAATGCCATTGCTGGAGGTAGATACAGCAAGGCATATATGGGTCTACAAGTATATGATGGTATAACTGTTAGGTACCGTGCCAGCTCAAGAAGCGGAGGGGTTGGGGCTTGGCTTCAGCTCTTGCACTGCACCCTTAGCTGAGTACGTGCCCCAAATTTGGAGCAGATCCAATGTTGTCTGACAATAGGATGAGTAGACCACTTAGGTCTGCTTTGAGGGTCAGGAGGTAAGTGCTACTAGCGGCGGGCCAACTAGAAGCGGAGCGGAGAAGGCAGAGGATAATACGGAAGGTGGAAAGGAGCAGGGGGAATACTTCTGGAGGCAGACGGAGGTCACAAGGAGGCCAGCTATGTCACGAATCCTTTAGCAAAGCTAGAATATTGCATATGATTCGCTTGCCTAGAAGAGACGAAGATTCTAAGTGCTTCCACCTTTGATGGAGACGATGAAGCTGCTTTGGACTCTCTATTACCTTGGTTCACAGAGAAGACCAACTCCCCCTTCAGCCACATTCGATCCCTTCAGCATTGAGCCTCATCGATCGCTTATAGCACGATGAGCATGCCTCAGGTCTGGTGGACTGACCGAAAGAAGTGGGAGGAGATGTTGTACAAGGGCAACAAGGTGCATATAGACCACCTGAGGCAAATGTTTGCTTTGATGGAAAGCAAACAGGTGGACCTTTGGGAGAACAAGGTGCTGGTAGGAATCAGCATGTGCGTATGCTACAAGGACATCAAGGACAACAACACGAACCACGACGTCAGCTACTCCTTCCTATCAGATCACAGAAATGGTAGCTTTGCGGATAGGGATCGCTTTTTCAAGGCCATCATTGAGAATCGAGAGACCTTGGGTTGGTTCACCATCATTCGCGATGGAGAGGTGAGAGAGGTGATTTGGGACAAAGGAGTGTTGATGACTTGGTTGAGAGACTATGCAGAGTTTCAAAAGCTAGTCCTAGCCAGATGCGAGATTCTCAGTGGAGCACCAGGCTGTGGAACCAAACTCACCGCCATGGTATACAGAAACACCAAGGTAAGCAGCATATTTGAAATAAGCCATTGACGGCTTATTTTCATGACCAACAGACGCGATCCTAGCGCAACCTAGTGATGCTAGGCAAGAACCTGACCATGCTGAGGACATATTACAAGTCTGGAGCATTGTCTGGGCTGGAAAAGCTCATTCCTCACTCCATAGATGGAGTCACAGCAGACCTCTACTATTCAGACAAGCCAGAGATCAAAGAGATGTATCAGACGCATCTGTCATATACTGGATCCGAGCACCTCCAACACTACCTGTGAGCATCCCTACTGCTGGTCCGACCCCCTGTTTCCTTGTCCGCTCCATTCCTCCTTCCCCGACAATGCACAAAGTGCATCTCAGCAGGATTAGCCCTGCTACCTCCGCCCAACCCCGTTCCGCTCTTCTGACACTACCCCTATGTCCTCCAACCCCATACCCCTTCCATCTGACCCTATCTGGGGTTCCGCTCCTCCGCCCTATCGGTCCGCCCGATCCTACTCCTACTCCCTCCACTTTTCCGACCCGCACAGGTCCTTCAGTTCCGCTCATATTCCCCCACCTGACTATTAGTCTGTCCGACCGCCTCACCAGTCCACTCCTAGACTAGGAACCACTCAACTGGTCCTATCCCCGTTTAGTATCATAGTTCCGCTTTTTGGATCACCAGTAATCCCTATACCCTAGCGATTCTGATCCATCGCGTACATACTGTTCCCCGAGCCTTATTCTCGTATGTCTCAGTCACCCTATTGTAATCCTGTACACTCAGCACATAGCCTTCTGCTATGCTATGCTCACCACTTAGAATATATAAACATATGTACATTTGTCTGTAGATACTCAGTCTGAATATTACCTTTTCTAAGCCCTGCTCTTCTGTTCTTTGACTTGGGCCTGATCCTAGTCAACTCCTGTTAGCTGGCCTAGGGGATTGACTCCCTAGGTCAGCCACCCTCCGTTCTTCCGCTCCTCTGTTCCCCCATTCCCTTGTTCCCCCACTCCTCCATTCCCCTGTTCCCCTGTTCCTCCATCCCTCCACTCCTCTGACTTCCCGTGCATTGGAACTAGACCCCGCACTCTCGCATCCATCCCCTCCATTCCGCTCTGCTTCGGACATTCGTCCAAGCAGTTCCTTCTGCTCCGCTTCTACTGTTGGTTCCGACCACAGTAGTCTCCTGCTTCCCTCCTGTCGGGCAGAATAACCCCCACCCAACTTTCCCACACTCACCTAGTAGTCCGTCAGTCCTCCTTCAGAGGACCCCCATCCCGACGTCCTGTCGGAACCCATAGAATTTGTGTCGGACTATATTCCAAAATTAGGGGCACATACTCAGATAAGGGGCACAGCGTACGAGCTGAAGCCAAGCCCCTCAGACTCTGCTTTACCCCTGAGCACGGTCTTAACAGCATCACTTCATCAACAAGGACAAGCAGTTCAACATGGATCAACTGTCCGCGACCATGTCAAGGGAAAGCATATCTCACATCGGCTTTGGACTCAGAGTCAACTCATGGTGTCACATCAGCACCGCATTCAAGTGGAAACTGGGTCAATTTGCAGAATAGTTGTTGGAAGAAGACGAGCAAGACACGGTCGAAGCTCTTCAAGCAGGGCATACGAGATCAACAGAGAACAGGATCTATGGTCTAAGTCCTGATGCTCTGGCAGGGACGCCAGAAGATCTATTGCCTCTATTCCTTCAGGCAAGCACCAACTGGCAGCTCTTGATGCATACTGCACCAGGAGGGCATGGATGCCAGTGCCAGTCATTTCAAGGAGCTGGTACAGTCTGGTAAATTTGGATCAGAGCATGAAACAGACCAAGCTCCAGCTACTCCCTCTCCCTCTCCACCTGTCATACAGTGAATGACAGCAGAGGTAACTCTATCAAAAGAAGACATCACTAATAGGATCATAGGCAAGTTAGAAGACAGGTTGGTCAAAGGACTCAAGGAAAGGTTGGTCAACTGAGTTGTAGAGCTGCTCGGTCCAGCACTGCAAGCGATCATCAAGGATGTGGTTGACAAGGTGAAACCTCAAGAACCAGCCGTGCCTACAAACGACTTAGATTTCGACAACTTGTATGCAATGAATGACTTTGAAGAAGGTGAGCTGATTGAAACAAGCCATCAACAGCTTATCTGAGATTTATCTTACAGAACACATTGATGGTCAGTGCCTCAAGATCATCTCATACATCTTTTTATTCCATGGAAATGCGGGTTTCAGCAGAGTCTATTGAAATAAGCCATTGACGGCCTATTTCTAATTCATGCACAGAACATTTCACATCACCACCACCTGATGAAAATGAAGCTGCAGAAGAATCAGGTGAATCTCCTGAAATAAGCTGTTGATGGCTTGGTCGGTGACCAGAGATCAATACATGCATATGCTAACAACGGCCAACAGATGCACCGCCACCCCCCAATCAGTTGCAAGAAAAAAGAGAAACATATTCTTCTCGGTCTCAGGGAGATTATATTCTTCTTGGTCTTAGTGGTTAACGGTTAGGCTTGTTAGGTTAGTTGATTATAACCTTACAAAAGCAAGTAAAACTGGAATGATCTTAGTCTTCAAGCTCTTCTGCCCAACCAATTAAGCCCCATACTTTTAATAACCTGCAAACTAGCTGCTGAGATGCGCCATCTGTCCTCATTCAAATTGTTATATGAGTCCATGACAATGCTCACATGCTGCACGCCACAGAGAAACATAGAATATGCTGTTCCTGTAATGAATTACAAAGGCAAGATACATCACCATGCATGACACAAAGCACTCGAGGCTTAGCAGTGTTATGTAGAGTATATGCGCACCCCACCGCTATAAAGGACTGCACCATGTGGACTGGACAAATCAGAAAATGACACACAGGTACATACAAATAGTAGCATTCATGAATCTCTCAGATGTTTCAGCTCATGCTGAAACAATGGGTGTGTGACTCCCTTTGTTTATGAAGGTTTATCTTAGCAGCAGCTCATCCCATCTTACCTTCAACTGGCGGTTCTGAGTTGTCTGACGAGCACCAACACTTGTCAGTCTCGAGTTTTAATTCTTCTGGGGACCAATGCCAACACTGGTCCATTCTCCTTGTTAACCTGCTTACACCAACTGTCAACACTTGGTCAGTCTGATGAGCGTCAATGCTCATCCCATCTTACCTTCACCAGCAGTTCTGAGTCATCTGACAAGTGCCAACACTTGTCAGTCTCAAGTTTTAATTCTTCTGTGGACCAGTGCCAACGCTGGTCCATTCTCCTTGTTAACCTGCTTACACCAACTGTCAACACTTGGTTGGTCTGATGAGCGTCAACACTCATCCCATCTTACCTTCAACCAGTGGTTCTGAGTCAGTCTGATGAGCACTAATGATTGTCAGTCTGGAGTTTTAATTCTTCTGTGGACCAGCGCCAATGCTGGTCCATTCTCCTTGCTCAATGGCAATCCTTTGGGGTCTGCAGTCTGGACCACCAATTCATTAATTTACCAATGTGGACGATTAGTCAGCCAAGTGTGAGCTACATTTGAGCTTCCAATTTATACTATGTCCCTCACCTCAAATGCCAATGTTTGACTGCACCAATCGTCAATGATTGGTATCTTCTTTTGGTCGAACATTAATGTTTGGCCAAAAGTCACTACAGACCTCTAGTTGGTAGTCGACTGCAAAACCGTCCAATGCCAACGCATAAAACAGGCAGGCCATCATCACCATCATATTCCACTGCATGAATGCACAACTGACGTGCTAATGGTTTCATAGACATTTGAGGATCAACAGCTTTGCATAAATTACACTGCAAATGTCATTTGTCTGTTCGTTGTCATATACCGGATCCAGGCACCTCCAATACCACCTGTGAACATCCCCACCCTGGTCTGACCCCCTGTTTTCCCGTCTGCTCCATCCCTCCTCCGACAATGCACGAAGTGCATCTCAGCAGGACTAGCCCTGCTACCTCCGCCCGACCCCATTCCGCTCCTCCGACACTACCCCTATGTCCTCTGACACTATACCCCTTCCATCTGACCCTATCTGGGGTTCCACCCCTCCGCTCTATTGGTCCACCTGATCCTACTCCTACTCCCTGCACTTTTCCGACCTGCTTGGTTCCACTATGTATATCCATCCCCTTGGGTTCCACTCTGCTTCGGACTTTGTCCGAGTAGTCCTCTCCGTTCTGCTTCTCCTGTTGGTTCCGACTGCAGTAGCCCTCAACCTCTCTCCTGTTGGGCCGAACGACCCCCACCTGACTTTCCTGCGCTCGCCTAGTAGTCCGTTGGTCCTCCTTCAGAGGACCCCTGTTCTGATGTCCTGTTAGAACTCATAGAACTTGTGTTGGACTACATTCCAAAATTAGGGGCATGTACTTGGGTAAGGGGCGCAGCACACAAGCTGAAGCCAAGCCCCTCAGACTCCGCTTTACCCCTGAGCATGGTCTTAACATTCATACATGCTGCTATAGCAACAACGAACCATTTGCACTGACCATGGAAGAAGCATGCCCTACCAAATGGGTTCATTTTCAAGAAGCAGCACATGACCTTTGCGATGCCAATACTTTGGATTGTGAGTTTTTATATCCAGACCAGAGGTTCTGTCATTCAGAAAATTTCTCAGCTTCATCCAAACCAAACTTTGCTAACATCCAGCCATCATGCTTAACCCATTCAAAGTCCAACCAGAAATGTTCCTCCAGCACCCCCCCCCCCCCTGTCCAAGCAGGACATCTACAAGTGGACTAACACAGCAAAGGCAACGGCCCCATGATTTGTCAGGGATGTTCTCTCAATGAAGGAAAATGATAGCAAAGGTCGATCTCCCCAACCTAACCCAGACACCTACTAAAAACCAACCACAAGACCTAATACCAGCTTTTACTGGCTGGGACATGTCCCCTGTTGAATGGTCTTCATTGTTGGCATGGTGGTTGCAATCCAGGAGTCCAATAAATGGATGCTATACACCAGTGAGTGATCAGTTTTGCAGTTGAGTTATAACTCAGGTTGGGTGCATAGTTGACAATTCCACAGCTGTCATCGAATGTATGCTACGTCACCCCCTACCTCATGCCAACTTGAACCAGAAAATCAGAGGGGCAGCAATGTCATTAAGCAGACATCCTTCCCTGCCTGCCCCTGTTACTGCCATTGGCTATCCGGTACAAGTGATTGGCAAAGTCACAATTCCATGGTAGGCAACAAATCAAAGCCACATTCATCAGTAAGTACTAACCTTATCTTTCAGTTGCACCTAATGTTCCATACCTGCTCTTCAGACCCCTGTGAGTTGACTAATTATCAATGGAAACATGTCCACACGGTCGTTGAGCTTCACAAGGCAAAATATGGGGTGCCAAAGCCTTTCAACATACCAGCTGCGACGTATTCAGATAAGCTTGGGACACAGAACCCCTTGAAGTGTCCATTGCCTGTCCACAAGCCATCCTTGCCTCTTACTCACAGCGCGACCTCTGTCCCAATAGGCTTAGTCATACCTGGATCCATAGTGAGTGCTCTGCTGTATACTTCATCGTCGAACGCCAACATTTGACTTGATACTCTAAGGCACTCCTGAATCTCTAGCTTGTAATTATAGCTGTTAGGTACCGTGCCGACTCAGGAAGCAGAGGGGTCGGGGCTTGGCTTCAGCTCTTGCACTGCACCCTTAGCCGAGTATGTGCCCCGAATTTGGAGTGGGTCCGACGTTGTCTGACGATAGGACAAGTGGACCGCTTAGGTCCGCTTTGAGGATTGGGAGGTAAGAGCTACTAGTGGAGGACCAACTAGGAGTGGAGCGGAGAGGACAGAGGATAATGGGGAGGGTGGAGAGGAGCAGGGGGAATACTTGATAGGAGTGGAGGAGGTGGAGGATAATGTGGAGGGCAGAAAGGAGCAGGGGGAATACTTGATAGGGGCGGAGAAGTAAAGAGAAGACTTAGAGCACAGCTCTAAGTTGGAGCAGAGGTTCAGAGGTGACAACAAGGTGAAACTTGTGTCCAGAGGAGGCAAGGTCCTACTGAGAATTCTCACAAGTAGTAACTGCAAGAAGACAAGTAATATTAAGACTGGGGAAAATATCTAAGTACAGGATATGTTATATACTTCTATGTATGAGGCAGTGATCAGGATAACTATGTTGTAAAGCTATGTACCAAGGATATAGTTTGTAAGTACTTTACACAGGCGAAGACATAAGTCGCAGCGGATATCAATATGTACGCGTTGGATCAGTGATTGAGCAGTAAGAGGAATTACTGGTGATCCAGAAGTAAGGGTCTATGTACTGAAGGGGAAAGTGTATATCTAAAAGGGGAAAGAGGTTCCAGTTGAATGGAGATGTTACGGAAGGGGACCGGTTGGGCAGTTGAGCAGAAGCATAGGGGCAGATGTGGATAATGATTGGATGGAGCAGAGAATGGAAGGAGCAGAGGTGGTCAGAAAGCGGAGCGGATATTGATATCGGAGCGGTTGGATCAGGTATATGACAATAGCTAGACATTTGAATTTCCAACATTGAACATTAATGTTTGACTCTCGCCTCTTGCTATGACATCTCACATCATTGTGCGCTCAGCATTTGATACCAAGCATTCCTCGCACCAAACTCAATGCCTTTGGACAAGTCTCACATAGAAAGGCTGCCCAGCCACCCACCTTGCAAAACCATCCGATGCATGTCGGCTAGTAAATGCAGGTCATCTGCCCCCGGTGTGGACCACAGTGACGATGACAAATCAGATCACAACAACAACAACAACCAATGGAAGATCTCTCGCAAAATGATTATGGCTGGTCCATGACATCCACCAGAGTTCTACCTCCTTCAACAGTCGCATGACCTGAATGCGTTATCCCACCTTCCTGCAGCAAGCCGATGGATCAATCAAGGGCAAATATGCCCAGATATGCTGCCTCTCCCAGATGACCTTCGGCAGCTCCGCGTTGCAATTTTGACAATCCCAGATGGCATGCTCATGTTGTTACTGCCTCACAATGATATTTTGGTCGCATCACTAATCAATCATTGTCTCCCACAAATTGCAATGTGGCCATTTGACCAAAGTATACAGTTCGATGAAAACCTCCCTACTGCAATGGTTGACACTCAGGGACAAATACCTCCTGTGCCATACATCGAACACCTTTGTAATGAGTTTTGGCAAGCACTCCTTGACGGGAAGCACTCGATACATGATCCACACAACCTAAATACTCTGCTCCCTCTGTGGGTTATCAAATTTTGGTGGGTGCTGCACACCGCATACGAACACAAGACACAATGGGTGAAGGCAGCGTGTTGGATATGGGAGAAGCAGAAGACAGGAAGAGACTTAGAGCTGCTCAGAGAGGCAGAGATGCTGCTCTGCCTTCTTCCCTGGAACAGGTCGCTTTGTGGGCCAGCCACAACTGGTCGCAGAACCACAAACCACCTATGTTTATTTTTGTCAGATCACCGCTGGTTGTCCAAGACTCTTGTCGATCTGATGACAGCCTCTCTTGTCTCTTTCCTGCCTGTGCAACACCATGACATTATCAATGCAAACACCAGCTTCAGCAATGCGATCTGCAGCACAAAGCATATCTCCTATCACGATTGGCTGCACCACCATCTCCAGGAAATTGAAGATGATGCAAAGAAACACAGATATCTTTATGCTACAGTGCACATACCCATGCTGGATCATTTTATTGCCTTTGCGATTGATTTTGAAACAAAGTCCTTTAAATACGGTAAGAGCCCTCTATTTTCAACTTGGAACTCATAAAAGCTAATGTGAATGCAGGTGACTCTCTTTATTCAAAAAATGCCCCATCTGATATCATCCAGAAGCTCCAATGGTGGTTGTGCAAATGCTTTGGTGGAGAATTTCACAACAATGGAGGTGTCTTACCGCATGGTGTCCAGAAGGACACATGCTGTTGTGCATTGTTCACAATCAACACTGTCATGCATAATGTCCTTGGACACACGCTTGGCATCCCAAATCCTGCCTCTGATTGAGCAAGATGGTTTTCAGTAACTGTGAGAAGCCAGATTGAAGACCCACAAGTCGTACAGTGGGAGATGGAGCAGTGACTTGAGGAAGAGAGGCAGGAGGAAGAATATCAGGAGAAGGAGAGGATGGAGCAAGTTAGGCTGGAGCAAGAATGTCAAGAGAAAGAGATGATGGAGAAAGAATGCCAAGAGAAGGAGAGGCTCGAGCAACAGCATCAAGAGAAAGAGAGGTTGGAGCAAGAGCACCAAGAGAAAGAGAGGCTGGAGCAAGAATGCCAGGAGAAGGAGAGGATGGAGCAACAACGCCAGGAGAAAGAGAGGATGGGGCAAGTTAGGCTGGAGCAAGAACACCAGGAGAAAGAACACCAGGAGAATGAGAGGATGGAGCAAGATGTTATCATGGCTGACGATGCACATGAAAACGACCAGCACATGCATGTCAATGAGTACCATCCACCTGCCATGGCACATTCCTCGTCACCTGGACACGAGCTTGAGCCTGGTGAACTTGAGTTGTCTATCCATAACCGCCCTCCTCTATCGCAACACAATGGTGTGACTGGCGATCACAGCAGATGATGCTCTCATGACCATCAAGAATGGTCTCATCATGCCATATCTCCTCCCCGCTATAGACCCTCATCCTATAGGGACTATCTGCATCATTGACCTGTATCTCCCCCTCATAATCGCAGCACACGGTCATTCTACCAAGACTATCCTTCCTCTCAACAGGACCGCATGATTCCTCCTCGTTACAGCCGATCATGCTCTCCGGTTGGATACCAACTGTCTGCGCGCTACCAGAGTCCTAGAAGGCGTCACTGTAAGTGTCCCTTCAACTTAGGTTTAGCTAGCAATTAATTTCTGTTGTTTGCAGCACCCTCCCCCTCTTATCTGTCCTCATCACGCCATAACCTTCAAAGAACAGGTCCTCGTGAGTTTCCAACCTAATTCATGCCATCATTTGACTAAATCTGTATAGCAGCTCACACATCGTGCTACCCTACTCCGCCTTCCCAACTCTCGGCTCCTGCTGTGAGCTCAGTTGCAGGCTTCGACAGGATGAATCACCGCATCGCTCAGACTGACAAGACTCGCTGGATCATCGCACATACAAGCCACCTTGTTCAGTTTGACAAACCAACTACTGTGAACCTGTCGATGATCAACCACCCCTCCTACCACTCCCTGCACATCATTTCTCATGGCCGTTTAGTAGTCTCCAAGAGAACTGAATTATGACTCCATCTTTGGCGAGATCAGTATCCAGACGTACCCCTGTGGTTTTTCACAGTTCGCTGTATCTCAAGAGGACTCAATTGGAGAGTCTTCGTCAGTTCATACAATCTCATTGGTCCAAACCCCACATATCAAATCACTCTGCCTCCCTACATTAGTGCCACACATCTGCCACTTGCCAACAACAGCTTGCAGGAGTATGAATATTGCATCCGAGCCCTCCTGCAACTTCCATACACCAGGTGCTTTCTCACAATGGGTGGTATGGTGTGGTGTGTCACATTGCACTATGGCCCCCCCAGCATTTTTTTCACTGCCCTGTCCAGTCCATCCATAGATGCTTACATGCATCACTGTGTGGATTGCGTTGGCTCAGATATTGATGACACAGTGACCCCCGATGCCATTGCACTGCTGCTAGGCACCTCCCTCATGGGTCGCAGTGTATGGCCTCCTCACGATACATTTGAAAAGTTCCAGAAGTGGCATGGAAAATGGTCCAAGTGTTGGGAGGACTGGTTCAACAAGTGCATCACCGCCCTATATAGGCCGTCGATGCAGACACCAGCACAGGCTTCATTCCTCACCTGTAAAGCGTGGGTTGACATGCACCATAAACACACAATAACTGCATTTCAAAGCTCTGGCACAGACGGAACAGACACTCAGGCAGCATGGCTATGCGAAGAGCTTTGCCAAGCGTATCCATCAATGGAATCATATAATGCTTTACCTTAGAAGTTGTCATTTCGTCATATCTGTGAGCTGCTTGGTTATTTATCCAATTTCTGGTAACTATGTCACTTCTTCAGTGCGTAGTGGTACTTTCTAGATATCTAGTCTGAAAATCAGGCTATTTGTCTGCACTCCTTGCTGTCGACTCATTCATTCTATCCCAATAACCAAGCTTGGGTTGTCATTGTTTACATATCATATACATACCACACATACATAGCATATATACAGCAATGGAATGTACTTTTACTTCTTATACACTGGTTCAGTTGCAGACATCACTAAGTGCAAATGAGGTTTTCACCTCAATATCATGCAAAAAAATTGCAAAAATCAAGCAAATCAACCCAAGACGATAAGCAAGTCAAGGATAAGAAATGCCATACCATAGGATACCATAAGATACAATATGATAGTCTATACAAGGATAAGAAACACGATAGACCACCATACAACACCTCATTCCTTCCACTTTTTATTATTATTATGACACTTCTATCCCATCTTAAAGTTTGCAAGATTCTCGTAAGAAAGGTCGAGTCAAGGTTAGGTTAGGGTTGTGTCAGGGGTTAGTGGCACGATCAAATTTTCACTTTTTCACACAATTTTACTTTGCCTTGTATCTTTCCACTACAACGTCTGGGGACCTCAACACATCCTGGGCTGCATAAGTTGCTACTCATGATGAACTCACACTCATTGCTACGTAACTCCTAGTCTACTTTTGGAACCCCAGCTGTGGCATTTCCAAATGACTGATCATTTCTTATCATGGAACAATCCATCTCGATTCTGCCATGACCTCCAAGTTCCAACCCCTGCCACCTAACCTCCATCACACAGCCATGTCTTCTATTACTGTGGCCAGCACTGAGTCTATGCCTGAGCTCCACAGACGCTATCAAACCAGAAGCAACTCTACTCTACAAGCGATACCTTGAACTCATCCTGTGAAACCCAGTGGGAATGTTCAAAAGTCCAGTTTGACCCTAAAACCACTTACACCAGTTTTGCAACCAAGTGAAACTGAGCGTGCAGCAGGCCCAAAGATATCCACAACCCCTCTCCAAGAGGTTCACAAGGACAACATGAAATCAGTCAAGTTACTGGCCTCTGTGGATATCTCCACAAATTCCGGTCCAAATCCTTTGTATGATGATGACGATGATGATAGTCTCCAACAGTTCCTTCATTATTGTCATCTTACCTCAAGTATGTTCCATGAGAAGTAAGGAATTAACTTGTTCTAATTGATATTTGAAGATGGGCAAAACATTTTGAGTGAATTAACTAAACTGCCTCCACAAACAGGCCGCATCATGGTGTGTACTAGCACTCTGAGTCGAATGAATGGAAGATTCCCATGCTTATCAAATATTCAGGAATTCTATGGTGTTGGTGCTTGGGAATATGAAAGAATAGAAGAACTGCTAGGAAAGACAGGCTGGATATCCAAGCCCAGGTGTGTTAAATAAATCTTCTCTCTGTATTAGTAAATATACTAACTGGGCCAGGCTAACTTACGATTATGACAGGCACTCCCTCCTTGTTGAGATGCCAAGCGCCATCCATGAAGCACCCTTTGATTGTTTGAAGCTCTCTCTAGGACACTCTATCGCAGCACTTCCTTACAATCACAATACAATATATCCGATGGTTCGCATGAACTCATCGTTGAGCATCAAATGAAAATCAGTTACACCTGATATTTGTATCACCATCACACCAGCAGAGGGTCCTACCAAAATCATATTAGTTCCATTCATCGGGGAGTGTGCCTGCTCTGAGGACAAGGACCATTCCATCCACAAACTCAAAGACACCATCACTGGTCATCCTCACGCCGAGATGGCCGTCCTTGGGCTAGTCTGCGAAGTGCAACCCTACAACTGTCCCAAGAAAAGTTCTCCTGCATCAAATACCTTACACAAACACAATGAAGTTCTTCCACTTGACACCTTCATCACCGAACACTTCCCATCATGCACCTCTATCACAGTCGCCAATCATAATTGGTGCCACATCAGTTCAGTGGAGTTTTTCATCTGGGTTCGGGGAGATGATGAAACTGATATCAACCTGAGTAAACAAGATGCCGAACATATGGCGCAGGGTGTAAGTTTTTACATTATCAAACAAATTATCTGACTTCAGTCCCCGATCTTGATCCAGACATTATTGCCCAACATCAACATGGATGCTGTCATAGCTATGTTGAAGCAGGGATTAGCAAAGATTAGAGATAGTTTTGTTGCATTCTCCAAAGAGCTCAACCCCAACATTGACTGCGCCAAACTTGAAGAAGCCATTGTCACATTTCCTGTCAGGTGGAAGGACTACGTCATAGCATTGAGGAATGCCGCGGATGTTACCGCCTGGATGAGGTACAAGGCTTGGCACGAAGGGGTCATCAGCGACGAGGACTCAGATCCCCCATATGTACCCTCAAATGCAGCAGAAGCATCAGCACATGTACCCTCAAATGCAGGAGAAGCATCAGGCAGTGGCTCTCATAGATGCTCCAAGAACAAGTGTTAGGTACCGTGCCGGCTCAGGAAGCAGAGGGGTCAGGGCTTGGCTTCAGCTCTTGCGCTGCACCCTTAGCCGAGTATGTGCCCCAAATTTGGAGTGGATCCGACGTTGTCCGACAATAGGATGAGTAGACCGCTTGGTGACAACAAGATGAAACTTGTGTCCAGAGGAGGCAAGGTCCTACTGAGAATTCTCACAAGTAGAAACTGCAAGAAGACAAGTAATATTAAGACTGAGGAAAATATCTAAGTACAGGATATGTTATATACTTCTAAGTATGTGGCAGTGATCAGGATAACTATGTTGTAAAGCAATGTACCAAGGATATAATTTGTAAGTACTTACACAGGTGAAGACATAAGTCGCAGCGGATATCAATAAGTATGCGTTGGATCAGTGATTGAGCGGTAAGAGGAATTACTGGTGATCCAGGAGTGAGGGTCTATGTACCGAAAGGGAAAGTATATATCTAAAAGGGGAAAGATGTTTCAGTTGAATGGAGACATTATGGAAGGGGACTGGTTGGGCAGTCGAGCAGAAGCATAGGGGCGGATGCGGATGATGATTGGATGGAGCGGAGGATGGATGGAGTGGAGGTGGTCGGAAAGCGGAGCGGATATTAGTATTGGAGCAGTCGGATCAGGTATATGACAGCAAGCACATCTCTTCCGCCTCCTCGCAGGCCAAAATGTGCCTTGTAGTAGTACGAGTAGGCTTTGCACTAGTTTGCATCCTAAATAGTTGCATTGCATACTGCCACCCATACTAATCACAACTGAATCTTTCGCAATGCACAATGCTGCCAACTGATGAGCAAATTTCCCATTTATCTGACCATAGTGATGATGCCGCCAACAGAAAAATGCTATGCGGCTTTGCCATTGGCCATGAAAAGGTCTAACTATAACTTATTACAATGTTCAATACTGCACAAGTGATGAAGTCATCAAAGTCAGTCATCAAAGTATCTCATTCAGTGCATGTGATCCATCTCTTTCTCTCTTGTTCTCTTTCTTCACAGTCAATCTGAAGGAGGCACAAGATATCATTTTTGCATTGCATGTAATAGAAGATGGTCATAGTGGTGTCTTTTTGTTCTTTTCTATCGAACTCAAAAGCTATTGTTGCTGTAGGGGTTGCAATTGAAGCGCTTTGCACCCATTGCCCTGCCCTTGTATCCCTTACCAAATCCTCTTTCTAATTCCTATTCCACGACTAGTTATTATTCTTTGAGTAATCAGATTCGGAATTCATGCAGAAAAAAAATAAAGAGTCATACATCCGTAGGAAGGTTCTAATACCAATAATATGTACACAAAGTACTTTGTTGACCTCCTTTATTTCCTATAACATGTTCTTTCCAAGTGACAACACCACCAAGTGTGTCCACAACATCATTTGCTCTCATAATTGGCTAACAAGGGCTTCCCGTAATTGCTGGACCAAACACCCACAATTCCTTTCCCATTACTCACAATGATGACGAGCATCAACACTTGTCAACTACAACAACAACAAGCGCCAACACTTGTTTGTTCCAACATCAATGACGAGCGTCAACGCTTGTCAGTTCCAGCAACTACAACAACAATGAGCGCCAACACTTGTTCGTTCCGACATCAATGACGAGCGTCAATGCTTGTCAGTTCCAGCAACTACAACAACAATGAGCACCAATGCTTGTTCATTCTGACATCAACAACGAGCGTCAACGCTTGTCAGTTCCAGCAACCACAACAACAATGAGTGCCAATGCTTGCCAGTTCTGACATCAATGACGAGTGTCAATGCTTGTCAGTTTCCGACAACTACAACAACAACAAGTGCCAATGCTTGTCAGTTCCAGCAACTACAACAACAACGAGTGCCAATGCTTGTTTGTTCCAACATCAATGACGAGCATCAACACTTGTCAGTTCCAGCAACTACAACAACAACGAGCACCAACGCTCATCAGTTCTGACATCAACGACAAGCATCAATGCTTGTCAGTTTCCGACAACTACAACAACAATGAGCACCAATGCTTGTTGGTTCCGACATCAACAACGAGCATCAATACTTGCCACTTTCCAGCAACTACAACAACAACGAGTGCCAATGCTTGTTCGTTCCAACATCAACAATGAGCACCAACGCTTGTCAGTTCCGACAACAACAACGCGCACCAACACTTGTCAGTTCCAGCAACTACAACAACAATGAGCGTCAACACTTGTTCATTCCAACAACTACAACAACAACGAGTGCCGATGCTTGTCTGCCCCAAATGGGTCGATGAGCACAAACACTTACCTCGGTACACGAGCACCAACCTTTAGGTATCATTTTCTCTTCACCAGCAATTATTCACTAACCCTTCACACCCAGTTTTAATGTCACTCACATGCACATGTTTATTATCCAGACTATTTAGACTTTTAGTGCGGCTCCAGAGTCCAGACTTCCACATTACGTTTTAATTTACCTAGTAGCTGCCTGCAGTCATCCGTATCAGTACTTTGTCACGTACCGCTACCTCCCAATACATACCCCAAGAGGAACACTTATACTGCAGATACTTCACTACCTTCCTGACATATTTTGCCAGGAATGTACCTTTTCAGACATTCGCAGCCCTTACACAATGCTACCCCGCCAGCAACCAAACCCTTTCATCCAGACAAGTTCGCTGCACCATGCAACCTCCTATGCTCTAGCATTGTCTTCCACTTCACTGTTGACCTTTATATCCTCTCTGTTAAGACTGTGCTCAGGGGTAAGGCTGGATCTGAGGGGCTCAGCTTCAGCTCGTGCACTGCGCCCCTTACCCAAGTACATGCCCCTAATTTCGGATTGTAGTCCAACTTGAGTTCTACAAGCTCCAACAGGATGTTGGAGTGGAGGTCCTCCGAAGGAGGACCGACGGACTACTAGGTAAGCGCGGGAACATCAGGTGGAGATTGGTCCGCCCTACAGGGGAGAGTCGGAGGGCTACTGCAGTTGGAGCTAACAGTAGGAACAAAGCGGAGGAGACTGCTTGGATGAAGTCCGACGCAGGATGAAAATATGGCAGAGAGGGGTACAAGAGTATTAGCCACACATCCAACACATGGGAAAGGCAGTGGAGGTGTGGGAAGTTGGACAAGCGGAGAAGGTGGCAGACCTAGGGAGTCAATCCCCTAGGCTGGCAAACAGGAGTTGACTTGGGTTGAGCCTAAGTCAAAGGACAGGAGAGCAGGGCTTAGGAAAGGTAATATTCAGACTAAAGATCTACAGACAGATGTACATATGTTTATATACTCTAATTAAGTAGCATAGCATAGCAGAAGGCTGTGTGCTGAGTGTACAGAATTACTAGAAGGATGACTGAGACATACGAGAAAAGGCTCAGGAGAACAGTATGTACGTGACGGATCAGTAATCACTCCGGTATAGGAATTACCGGTGATCCAAAAGGAGGAACTATGATACTAAACAGAGATAGGACCAGTTGAGTAGTACCTAGTCTAGGAGTGGACCGGTGAGGCGGTCGGGCGGACTAATAGTCAGGTGAGGCGAAACGAGAGAAACTAGAGGAACTGAGTGGGTCAGAAAAGCGGAGATGGTGGAGGGAGTAGGATTGGTCAGACCAATGGAGCGGAGCTCCAGATGGGGTCAGGAGGGTAGGGATATGGTTGACAATCAAGTTACCACACTCATTCATGATACCCTCTATTCCCTCCTCCGACTAATGAGCAACAAGTTCTTGAAGAACTGAATTAAAAGATCTGTTCACTCTATTTCTCCTCACCTACCACTTGATGGGCAACTATGGTAACACGAGTCGCATATCTCAAGTACCGCCCACCATCAGTAAGGCCCAGTGGTGCTTCAGAGCAACAGCTGCCCGCGTCATCAAGGATAATATGCCATCCTACGAAGATAACCCCATGGCATAGGTATTTTCAATGTACCCCAACGAGAATTTGCTACTCACTGCCGTCCACTCAGGGTATATCATGCACTTATCAAACCTTTCCTCATTGATGGTCAGCAGACACTGTTCATCTGTCTTTGACAGAACATGACATTCCTGTCGGCTTTATCGTATTCGGAGCCAGGGCTGCCGTGCTTCGCATGGAATGCCGAGATGACCGTGCTGTCTATAGATGGGTTTCCAATACAGTTGCAAACATTTAAACACTCAATCAAATCATCGCTCAAGGATATGAAGGCAAAGATGGACAAGCTATTCCGCGGTTGCCCATGGGAGGACATCCTACATGATATCGACAATCATACAGATCCCAATGTTCCTGGCAACTGGTACAGAGACCATCCACAGTGCATAGACCAACATACATCAATTTTTAACTTTCCAGAGAATGGATGGAGCCAGTATACCCACCATCTCCTCAGCCATCTCACCACAGACCCTGCGCTTTTTTACAGCCTGGATGGTAAATGGCACGCTACCCAAAGTCAGTCGATGTATCACCACCTCACATTGTCCAGGCTAACCTATTTGATAGGCAATGTATGGGAATGGATTGCCCTCTTGAACGATCTCTGTTCCATCATGTTTTACTGCGTCATATCCACATGGGGTGGTGGTGCAAGAGGGACTGAATGCAACCACCTCCAATTTCACATAGACAATCAAGGTGTTAGAATAACCAAGTGAACCAAGCCACAAGTGAGCTAATGAGAGTGAACAGGACTATAGTCCAGTGTCAGTTGCTATTGTGTTGTGTAAACTAATGAGTGTACTATACCTATAGTCCAGTGTCAGTTGCTGAAGAGCAACCAACACAGGACTTGCTACCTATGGGTGAGTCTATGTAAACAAGTGTAAACACTGCCTGAGTAAGTAAGGAATTCACATCACATGCTAAGTGAGAGTCCAATAGAGGAAGCAACATCATAACACAAATAACTCGCACCATAAGGTGCTCAATCACCACAACTAACACTCCCCCCTGATTGTGCACCTCTACACATCTCAGCTCCCCCTCAAGCTACTCAGTCCCATCATCTGGCAGAACAACTGCACCTTGGGTCGAGCCAATGCCTTGGTCAGGATGTCAGCTGGCTGGTCAGCAGTGGGCACAAATACTGGTGCAATAATCTCCTTGTGCACCACATCTCGAAGCCAATACCAGCTGAGATCAAGCTGCTTCATCCGACCATGGTGCTCTGGGTGCTTGGCCACAGAGATGGCGCTCTGGTTGTCGATCCTAAGGACAGAAGGTGCAGTGGCAGGGAAGCCCATCTCAAACAAGAGGTTTCGCATCCAGCGGATCTCCTTGCCTGCCTCAACTGCAGCCATGTACTCAGCTTCAGTGGTGGACAAGGCCACAATGCTTTGAAGCTTCGACGACCAGGAGACAGCACCAAGGCCAATCTTGACCAGGTAGCCACCAGTGGAGCGACCAGTGTCTTTGCATCCACCATGATCAGCATCAGAGAATGTGGAGAAGAGTTCCATGGAATTGGGATCAGGAGCATAGGTGATGGAGTAGTCTGCAGTGCCTTTCAGATAGCGGAGCAGGTGCTTGACAGCTTGCCAATGGGCAGGGCCAGGGTTGGAGTTGAATCGAGCTAAACAGCCAACAGCATAGGCAATGTCTGGTCTGGTGGTGGTGGCAAGATACATCAGAGC